GGGGGGGGGGGGAGGTCGACGCGGAGTGAAGGTAAGGAGATGGCATGAGTGATGGTTTTCATGGTTTTTTTCAAATGAAGGAGGGATGGGAAATGGGTGGTGGAGGGGGAGGTCGCTGTCGGAGCTTGGCGGTGACTGAGACCAGGACGCGGCGGGCCTGACCTCGTTGACAACTGCTGCTTGATGTGATCATGCGCGGTGCTTGGTATGGGCTCTGATTGCTCATGAGGGACGCGAGACGGCGAGGAGAATTTGTTGAATAGGGTCAATTTACCTTCGATTGTGCATGCAAAGCGTGACAACAATATTATGAATACGTTGGTTGATTTTGTGGCGACTGCCTTAACATGTCAAAATATGTCTACGTTTGTCCAGAGAGCGGCCATTGGTTTAGTTGGTGTAAGATACCGCGGGTTACATACTGAGTGCTGTGTCATTATAGGGTGCTGTTTGTCTGACTGTCTGTCTGTCTGGGCCAATTTTGCTTGGTAGCAGTGTCGTTGATTGATCACAACGCCGGTGTTTGTACAAGATCGATGCGGCTGACTTCTCTGCTGCATTTCCGTTGCAGCAACCAAGCGGACTACTGCAAGACTGCTGTGGACTCTTTGTGCGTGATGAAAATGCCACATTGATTGCCTGACCTGGTTGTTCGTGTGGATGATGTGTGTTCATGTAATGGTCAGGATCGCACTGTGGACCCTATGGTTTGACGTTGAATATCCCACATTGATTGCATGACCTGGTTGTTCGTGTGGATGATGTGCGTTCATTTAATTATGGTCAGGATCGCCCTGTGGACTCTCTCTGTGTTTTGACGTTGAACTTACACATTGATTGCTTGACCTGGCCACTCGTCGTGTGTATGTTGTTGTGTGTCCATTCAATGGTCAGGATCGACCGTACTGCATACCCTCTGTTGACTGATCGCGGGGACGTAAATGGGTTGTAGGTTTGTGCGCTTATTTATGTCATTGGTTTGTAGGTGAACAAGACTTGCTGGTTGGTCGCCTGCACTAGCTACTGATTCAGATCAAAGAAGGAGCGAGGGCTGGCAAATAGAGAGATTTTCTCATGTAGGTTGCGCTTTCTGTATTCTTACGGTGTAACGCTGCTGCTGCTGTAAACAAACAGCTACGTGCAGTAGCTAAAATGAACGGTTGTTCGTCCCGAAATAGCTGGCATCCAGGTCACGTCGGAAAAATCGTATCTTCCCTTCGAACACTGCTAGATGTAGACTTGTGTGTGGCATGCACTTACGGTACAGATGGCACCCGCACTTAAGAACCTCTAGGTTCGGCAGAGGCTGGGGTTCGTATTTTGCTGATCATCCTCTTGTGGGCTACAAATGGCCGCTATATAGGTTTTAGTGTGGGGTTCTTAACGGAGTTCACAAATAATGGTGCTCAAGTTCTCAGCTTCTGATTTTTGCGAGTCTCAGCTAAGCGGGTGCTATGTAGCATACGTCAGGTCGACATGACGCTACTGCTACTGACTGCTGTGTAGATTCGCGGTGTATATAGGTCGAGGCGGACCGATAAGCTTGAGCATGGTCCTGATATGCCAGACCACACATCTGGAGGAAGCACCCATAGTAGTATCGGACGTGGGTGCCCATTGAACAAGACACAACAGCAGTCTTACTAGATATACATGTATATACCGTGAGTACATGATGACTCGTTGTCGCTTTTGACTGCGCATTCTGCGTACCCCCCCCCCCCCCCCCCCCCCCCCCCCCCCCCCCCCCCCCCCCCCCCCCCCCCCCCCCCCCCCCCCCCCNCACCTGGGGGCAGGAGTAACAAGGAACACACACGAGCCTGTGGCTGGACAGTAGAAAGAGGTATCTCGTGCGCGGGCTGTCTTGCGGAACTTAAAAATCTGTAGGACGGTTGGGCGAGCAATCAGCCGAACAGGACTGCGCGGTATAGAGCCAAGCCGAGAGAGGAGGGAGGAAGGAGGGGAGAGAGAAAACCCCACTTGTTCGGTCTTGCAGCCGAAACAAGACATAGATAGTCTATCGTCTTAGAGGCAGCGCCGCTCTGTCTGGGATTCTTCTGGCTCGGCTGGGGCAGTAGCATCTGCAAGTGGAGGGTCAAGCTCGACTGCGTGGCCATCTCCTCTCTGCCTCGGGAAGCATCACCTGCAGCACAGCGACGAAAAGTCTTGGGATAATTCAGGGGGGGGGGTTGCTCGGCGGGAGGTGGTGTGGGAGGAGAAGAGCCAGGTGGCCGCATCAGCAGCAGCAGCAGCAGCGGAAGGCCTTGCAGCGCGGCGAGCGGGATGTCTGCCATGGCGACCGATCCACCCGGTGGTGGCGGCGATGCAGCGAGCAGAGGGTCGGGAGTGGACATCCACGGGGCCGTCGAAAGGTGGGGGATGATGCGATGGGAGAGAGACATGAGAAACAGTCGGGAGAGAGGAAGAAGTTTCAAGTTTGATGGGAGAGTCTGCTGATCGTGCCATCCAATTCTGTCTGCCCGACACCTCCTGCGTGTCGTGTGATTTCGGCCCAACGTGTGCTTTCGTGAGCCAGGGGTAGTAGTAGTGTCTTTGGTTGCGTGCTCAGAAGTCCTTTTGTTGGTGTTTCGTGTTGCGTTGTTTTTCCGTCCTCCCATGCCAGTTATAGTCTATATGAAAAACACCGACGGTCTCTCTCTTCTGTCTCGCTCGGTGAAAAAAAGTCTTTTGAAAACAATCAGGTCAATTCATCATCTTCCCCAACCCCCGAAACAGCAGCTCCAAATATTATTCCGACGCCACAGGCCACGGCCCGGGCTAAAATATCAGGAACCACACACCCTTCTCCGGTCCTACCGCCGTCTGTACACACGACTATCTCCGCGACGAAGGCAAGGATTAAATCACCTACCTCAGCTGCTGCTGCTGCTGCTGCTGCTGCTGGTTGTGCTCTTCATCATCATTCTGATGTCGTGGAATTTGGTCAGAGGTTTCTGTAGGAAAAATAAAAAAGGGAAAACGACACAACAGGGTATACCCTG